CATCGCTGGCGATTCGAATAAAAGATTATTGTAGAGGAGCAACCAGGCTCTTTGTTCGGCCGTCAATCCGCTCGAATCGAGGAACAGAAATAATTCGATGAATTTCGTCGGAGAGTTATGTACAGTCGTGGGGAATGGAAATTGTTCCAAGAATTTCGCTATAGGCTGTGATGGTGGTGAACCTCCTACATTGCTCTTTGCATCTACCGGAAATCGATCAAACTCTTCCAATTTTTTAACAATCAGCTCTTGCAATAATTCAGCATCTGGTTTTCGTTCGGTGTTCTCCTTTATGGCACAGCAGATGTTTTCGTCACATTTTTTGATGCCGTCATCGCCGAGTTTCTGCCGCTGCTGCTCTATTCTTGCTTTCTCTTCATTAGCCACTTGCTCTACCATCTTCTCGCTTGGAATTCCGATGACGGCTACATGAGGACTGGTGAAATATTTCTTCACAAGACCCGACCAAAATGATGCTGGTTCAGATCGTAGACGGCGAATAAGCTCCAGCTGCAAAATCTCGTTACTCGTTTCTCGTGAAGATAGGTTGATCTAGCTATCTTACCTCATTAACTCGTGTCTTCAGATCTTCCTCAGTTTTGTCGTATAGCTGATGTAGAATCATATGACCAAACAATTTCCCATCTGGATTTTTCTCCATCTGAATTAGGAAATCCGAATTACTTCCTAAGCGAAATCATACTTTTACATTTTGCAATTCATTCTTGACTGCTTGTCCTATTAGGAATCCCATTCTTTCCATGTCCCAAGCGTTATCTTCTAAATGATCTTTCACCACCTTGTCCATGAACCTGAACGGCTGAAGTGAGAGATATGAATCTTTGGAGAGTAAAAAGTAGAGAAAATACTTCTTTTTCACATCATCAAGACGATCTGTCGGCACTCCACCAAAAGTCAACGCAATGACGCAGGTACTCTAAAAATCACTAGCTTAGAAAATTTGAAGACATCTTCCACCAAAAACTGAGGTTGCGGAGGTTTTGACGCAGTGCATTAAGGTCTAAGTAAATGCCCCAAGTCTCGCTGAGGGTGTTTTCCAAGCAGAAAATTGCTGCAGAAGGTAGATGCTGCTGGGATAGCCACCCCTGTCAACGTGGGTGGTTTGAAGGGAGGACGCGCAGGAGGAACCAAAGGCCTAGCCGCCAATG